GCGGCGCGCGCGTTTATTTTGGGTCCAATGGGTCTAGCCCACTTTGCCCATAACCTCATTCTTTCACAAAATTTGGGTACCCCTTAGGGCCCTCTCCAAGTTGCAAATCCAAGTTTTATAAACCCACAAAAGTTTGCCCACCAAACCAATATGGGACAAGCTTTAACTCAAACCTTAATGCAAAACACCATTTCCATGGAGTTCACTTTGGCTTCAATTTTTCATTCACCTGATAATGATTTTGAGCAACCAAATATACTACATGAATCACAACGCGGTATAGAACGCATTACCATTTAGACCCGCCATCTTTGGCTCATGTGTCCCATCTAAAAATTAGACCAAAGTTGAAAAAAAATTATGTTTTTTTCAAAACCATTTCTTACAAATTACAACTAGGCCGCACGAAGTTTGGCTTTAAAATAGAAAATAAAGCCAAACATCTTTTAAATAAAGCCAAACATATGTAATTTACCAAAAAATAAATCAGTGTGAGTAACCTGTGAAGTTGTTGTCATGGTTTGCTTAATTTGCAATGCTTAATAAGTAGTCCTTTTCACAAAAATAAGGGTCAATTACAACTACGCCGCACGAAGTTTGGCTTTAGAATAGAAAATAAAGCCAAACATCTTTTAAATAAAGCCAAACAACAAGAGGTGCAGGTGTAATTCACCAAAAAATAAATCAGTGTAAGTAACCTTTGAAGTTGTTGTCATGGTTTGCTTAATTTGGCTTTCCTTGTTATAAATAGTTGGTGTGTTGTGAAATTTATTGAAAATACAAATAAAGTTGGTGTGTTGTGAAAATGATTGAAAATACGAATAAAGCATGTAACAGAAGATCCCATGATATTAATTTTTCAGTGGTGCTACATACATCAATCAGTATACACACTAATGTACCCACTAGTGTTATAATATCATTATTGATCATATTTATTATACAAGTTATAAATACTCAAAACTATACAAATGATGTCACATCATCTGTTAGTACACTAATGTGTATATTAATTGATACGTATAACATTATTCTTAATTTTTATTTGCAATTTCTTGAGCATTTAATGGACTTCACAATTTTGAGCAATATGATACCACAGTCTTGTGAAAATTTGGAGATGACACAATAACATAGATATAAATTGAAAATGACATAACATGATAACGTGAAAAAAATAAATTGATTGAATTGATGTTGAGATAATTCTTATTGGGACCTAAAATGCAACACCACATGACTATTGGAACATTTTCATAATATATTTAAATATATAATATAGTTATATGAATGATTAAAGAGATGTGACTTTTGGGTTTAAATCAAATGGTGTAACCATTAGATTTAAACCAAAAGACATGACTCTTGGATTTAAAGGGTATTACTTTTGAATTTAAAGGGCACGACTTTTAGTCTAAGGGATACAAACCAATACCTATATAAAGGCGGAATGGGTTGGCATTTGGAGAGAAGTAATCCATGTGAAATCCATAGAATATTCATGGAATTTCTCTCTAACATTCATATTGTTATTTTCCTCTAAAATTGGTGGATTAGAAAAATTCAAAGGTATTCAGGATTTGATTTCGTTCGTGCATAACGCAGTTATCAGTCTTTAGACTGGGCTTCATTATATAATGGAGGCGGATTCACGGGTAACCCGGTGCACACCATATTCGACAAAATTGGTGGGAGCGAATATCGTCTTAAGGAAAATAACATTGTAACGCGCCTTAAAACAATACTAATTATTTTATCTCTTTCCATCTCATTTACCAAATTTGCACCAACAATTTTACAACAATATTCCAAAGAGATGGAAGCACATTAATGTGTATTTGGAATTATGTACAACAAGTAAGGCTGAATTCTGTTGTGTGCTGATCTGCTGGTCTATTGCTGATATGCTGGACTCTGTTGTGTAATTCTGGGCTGATGCCAAAGGGTTAAGCTTGCATGTTGATTTGTTTTTGGCTTAGGTTCTTGTATGCAATAGTAGGCCTTCCTACTGCTGTGTGTGCTGTGTTTCTGTTCTGTTTTGATCCTCTTCCTTTCGGGTTTGGTTCCTCACCAAATTCCTTCCTCGTAGGAAAAATAAGCCAACATTTTAGCCAACAATAACGCAGTTATCAGTCTTTAGACTGGGCTTCATTGTATACGGGTAACCCGGTGCACACCATATTCGACAAAATTGGTGGGAGCGAATATCGTCTTAAGGAAAATAACATTGTAACGCGCCTTAAAACAATACTAATTATTTTATCTCTTTCCATCTCATTTACCAAATTTGCACCAACAATTTTACGACAATATTCCAAAGAGATGGAAGCACATTAATGTGTATTTGGAATTATGTACAACAAGTAAGGCTGAATTCAATTTTATTTATGGTATAAAGAGGATTAAGAAACAAGGTATGCATTTCTAATATATGTGCAATTTTATATGATAATGATAATGAAAATCAGATTGCCAGGTATGAGTTATTTTCTATTCTGTTTTTGAAATTAGTATTATATGAACAATTGCATGCCTATATCTATTGTTTCTTGGTAAGAAAGTGTGTGTCTATAATTGACACCTAATCTTCAAGGAAAAATATACTTCTCATATGCCATGAAAGAAACTGTTACGAACTAGTTATGCGTATTTTAATTATAATTGTTGTTGTAAATTTTGTTGTCTCTATTGCATGATAAATATAATTTTTGTTAGTATGTTTTTACAACCAATGAGGTGTAATTCAGAAAATAAGATTTTTGTGACTTTCTGTATTCGGTGACCAGAACTTGGATCAATTAAAATTTCTGACGCATTTTGCATGTTATTTGTGAAACATATGATTTTATGATTTTATTTACATATTATCAATTTACATGAAACTTTTAAGTTTTGTAAGATATTGTTAATATGATTTGTTCTAAAGTTTTATTAAACTATTTATATAGTTAGTCTATATGTTTGGGTATACATCTAGAAGTTGATATGTATGATCTTTTCATAAAATGACTTTGAAGTTGGAAAAGGAAAAGCACAAATATTTGAAAAATATTTTGTGAAAGTTTTCAAGAATGTGTTTTTAAAATCAAGTTATGATTTTAATTGTTAAAATCAAGATATGCTTTTTGGATTGTGATTTCTAGAAACTTGAGAAAATATAGAATATATGTTATATACTTGGAAAATTTTCTGAATAAATAAATTAAAATTTCTAATTTAAGTAACTTGTATTTGAATGAAAATTTTATATTGATTGGTCAATTTATGATTCAAAACAAATACAAGCACAAATCATGAGACTTAAGATACAAGAAAGTATTAGTTCTAAATATCTTTAGTATTAATTGTTTAATCCCACAATTTTTAATTTCTCAAAGTTATTGAGAATGGTTAGTTTATATGTTAAAGTGGGTACCCCGTTATTTGAAAGGATACATAGGCTCCTGTTTGAACACTTAGCCTCTGTTTGGGAAGAGGCTTTTTGGGCTTTTTTGGCTAAAATAGTCACAAAAAATAAAATAAGTTTTTTAGCCCAATAAGACAAAACACCACATCCAACCTATAATCATTACATTCTTTCTCTCAAAAAAAAGTCATAAAAGCCAAAAGTCCTTCCCAAACCAGGCTTTTTAGTCACAAGCTAAAATAGTCAAAAAAGCTAAAAAATCAAAAAGGCAACCCGCTTCCCAAACGACACCTAAACTATGGCTTAAGAGTGAATAAAGATTACTCTTGGTGGGGGTTTATCTCTTAGAATTGAAGAGACAGTTCTTAGTCTCTAGTAACAAAAGAGATGAAGACATGATATTTTTGTCACGGATTTTTCTTGAAGAGACGGTTCTCAATCTCATCATTAATGTGAGTTCACTACAAGAAAATATACTTTTGGCGACCACTTTTGCCGATTAAAACAATTTTGGTCGCCAAAAGTTGTGGAATTGACGATCAAAAATTATGTTAGTTGGCAAAAGTGCTATATTTAGCTACTAAATTTTTTTAGTTGTGATATATTGATTATTGGCGACTAAAAAAAAATTTAGTCTCTAAAAATCCCACAATTGACGACTAAACAAAAATTTTAGTCGCTGTGTAGTTAGTTTTGGCTATTAAAATTATTTAGTCGCCAAATGAAAAACAAAAATTAAAATTTTATTTTTAGCAACCAAAAGTTTAGTCGCCAAAAATTTATTTTCAGCGACTAAAAAATATTTTAGTTATTGTATAGTTAGTTTTGGCTACTAAAATTATTTAGTCGCTGAATGAAAAATAAAAATTTACTTTTATTTTTGGCGACCAAAAGTTTAGTCGCCAAATATTTATTTCCAGCGACTAAAAAATATATTAGTCGCTGGATAGTTAATTTTGGCTACTAAAATTGTTTAGTCGCCAAATGAAACACAAAAATTTACTTTTTATCTTTGACGACCAAAAGTTTGGTCGCTAAAAATATATTTTTAGCAACTAAAATATTATTTTAGTTGCTGTATAGTTAGTTTTGGTTATTAAAATTATTTAGTCGCCGAATAAAAAATAAAAATTTACTTTTTATCTTTGGCGACCAAAAGTCTGGTCGCTAAAAATATATTTTTAGCAACTAAAATATTATTTTAGTTGCTGTATAGTTAGTTTTGACTATTAAAATTATTTAGTCGCCGAATAAAAAATAAAAATTTACTTTTTATCTTTGGCGACTAAAAGTTTGGTCGTCAAAAATTTATTTTCAGTGACTAAAAAATATTTAGTCACTGTGTAGTTAGTTTTGACTACTAAAATTATTTAGTTGCCCAATGAAAAACAAAAATTTACTTTTATCTTTGGTGACTAAAAATTTGGTCGTCAAATATTTATTTTCAGCGACTAAAAAATATTTTAATCGCCAAAGATAAAAAGAAAAATTTCAGATTTTTTTTTTTTGAACTGAGAAAAATTTTCGGATTGGCGCCATTATTTTTAATTATTATTATTATTATTATTATTATATTTTTTTTGGTATCAAATCTGTTTGGAATACAAACAGGTTTGCTCTCTCTCTCTCACAAAATCAAACACCACCGAACCAAACCGCACCTAACCTCACCTCACCGCGATCCGCTCATCTCACCGTCGCTCACCGCCGTGCGACGTCGCACATCGCCACCGCCGCAAATCACAGTCGCACATCACCGTTGGCTCGCCTCCAGCTTACATTCAGGTTCTCTCTCTCTCTCTCTCCACCATTTCTTACTCTTGCTCTAGGGTTTGATATTCTTCCTCTATTTCTCCCATTTCTCACTCTTGTTCTAGGGTTTGATGTTCTTCCTCTATTTTCCCATTTTTCACTCTTGCTCTAGGTTTGAAATGATTTGTTCAGTTTAATTTCGTGTTGATTTCTTAATGGATTTGGTTTAATTGGTTTGATTTCTAGAGTTTTATGGGTTTGATGTTGTAAATGGGTTTGATTTTAAGTCCAATACACAAATAATCGAGTTTTTCTGTCTCCATTTACCTAAAGAACATAGACATTATGTATAACAAAATATAAGTTGAACAACATCAAAATTAAAGAATAGAGTTAATATATATATATATATATATTAAATAATTGAAAATGATGATTTACTAACAGCCCATTCAGATTTGAACAGAACAGGTTTTGTTGCAATGTGGGCAAGCTTTTGGATCTAAATCGTGGTCAATATTGAAATCAGTTGCAGTTGGAGCCCATTCATCAGGGTATTTCTTTATATTTGGAACTTGAATTGGTAACTTTTTAACAAACTTAATTTTGAATATTTAATTAGATATTATGTTTATATATACATCCTGTGCATGGGAAAGGTGAACAGCCCAACAGCAAATGTAGCCTGAATTTTGGTGAAGGTTTCAGAAAATGAGAAGGTATGCCCCGGCACTAAGAAGAAACTACCATTTTACTGCAAGTGACGAAAGCTACTTTTACTTTCGACAATTTATCATGTTACTGGAAACATTGTAATCTGTCTTTATTTCCATCAATTTTTATAATCAACATGCTGGTATTCTCTGTTTGCATTTATTTGGGGGCCCTGTTTTTTTGGTTTTTGTTTTTTTTGTTTTGTTTTTGAGCATGTTTCCTTTTTATTCGTTATTGTTTTTCAAATTTTATGGTCCAATGGTTTCATGTCATGGTTACTGGTCTAAACTCTAAAATTCTAGAACATCATTTATTAAATGATAAGTTAAATCTAATAGATGGATGAATAAAAATATAACAATAAGATGCGTTATCATTGCTATAAGGTTTATTGATGGCTTTTATTATAATGAAATCTTTTCTACTCTTGTCATGGAGTTAATTTTCTGACAAGTTTAGATATTCAGTGAACATCTCACTGAATATTTGTAATTTAATGGAATATTTCTTTCATATTTGATGCAATGGTTGATAAAATGTGATGAAAGAATAATAATGGTACAATGAGATTTATTACATTAGTCAGAGTTATTTTAAATTAGTGAAAACATGTCTATCATAAGCCAGTGAAAATTCATTAGCATGATATCATCATAGATACTGCCATCAATAGCTTAATCATGTGAACTCAATTGATAAATTCCTTATGTTGTTCCACATTTCTTCATCCTATCAAAATTTGAATGTTTACAAATTACTTCTTACAAATGAACCGATTTGTTTGGATTCCAATAGCCACTCATTTTGATGTTATTTTTTTTTCGCTTTTGAAGAAATATCACCCTTCAAGGGTACTAACCCTTGTCTATCAACCATTTGCACTTGGAACAATGACAATACTTGCATATAATGAGTCAAAGATTGACACAAGGCGGTGCAACTTGACTGGATACATCCTTTTCTTCATTTGTACTTTCGCTCTATTAGTTGTAAGTACTGCAACAACTCCATTTTGTGTGTTTCACAATCCAGTTTCCTTAATTATTAAATCATCCACCACAATAACCAATGTGGATGTACTTTGGTGTCACTTTGACAGCTGGATTTAGCGACATCAAGGAAGGGAGGAGTTAGAAATTTTATTGGTATATGCAATCATTGTTGCTGCTTTCGGAGTTGCAGATGCCCATGTTTAAGGTGGAATGGTTGGAGACCTATCCTTCATGTGATTTTTTTTTTTTTTTGGG